ACAGAACCAGGATTTTGCTTATAAAATTTACATGGAGCCAGCACCCTAGCACGAATTTACATTTCTCACCCTCAAACTCCTCTGGGGAAAAAATGACTGGCTAGTGAAGCCATAGGAACAAGAAAGCGTAAAAATAAGGGGAAAAAAGATGGACTACAAAACCCTCTCTACTTGCTTTTGTAATGGCAATTCCTTTTCTTCCAACCAACCCATAGGGAACATGAAAGCAAAAACCTATTTCATCAGTATGACATTACCAAAGAAAAAAAAGACGAAAACCAAAAAAAAAATAAAAAATAAAAATCATATACATATGCTGTGTCCACTATTAATGTCCCAAAACCTCACTTCCTACACCAACGCTTGACTTGTCAGCCATACGTACATTGTACTGTTCATATACTCTTGCCCGGTTCTCTGCCCACCATTGCTCCGCTTGCTTCTCACTGAACCGCTTCCGACTGTATTCAACCATTTGAAACCGTGTTTATTCACACACACACACATGAAAAGAAAATGATACTATCACATGTTCTAAGAAATTACATTGATATACACACACATGGAAAGAAAAATGATATTATCACATGTCCTAAGAAATTACATTGATGTTTTCCCTTTTTCATCACTGATTCAACAGGTTTTTTGGGGCACCAAACTAGGGTACTTTTGTACTTATGTATTATCTAGTTATCAGAAAACACAGCAGCATTTGTGTCAAAATTAATGTGAAATTTATGAATTAATGCTGTATCATTCACGATTTACACTGCTATTCGCTCTAAAACCTGCTCTAGAAGCTAATATACAGTTGTAGATAATAAGCTAAAGATGGTAGGCTGCAAGTTATACTAGACATATACGAGAAGATTCAAGAATAAAATGGAAAGAAGGCTAAATTTAAAATGAAAATTTAAATTTCAAAATATTATATTGAAAAAAAGGACCGAAAAAGAACGCAAAGGCTAAAGCTCAAGAGCAAAATACCTGAAACGAACTCGCTTGAGATCTTTGAGTCCTCCAGGCAGAGAGGTAAGGGTAATGTAAACACCAGGCTCATCTTGCTCGACCCATTCATTTTGGCTTTGGGATTCATTTTCCTTTGTTTTATTTCCAGTTCTCGGTGTTGCTTCTGCTAGACCTTGTCTGCTGTGGCCCAAACTGCGATTAGTTGCAGTGCCGGACCCATTAGAAAGCAACAGGCTGTTTGACTCGTTTGACTCAAGATCCTGCTCGTTCGGTCGATCAAAAGAAGCAATAGTAGCATCTTGAGATATTGAAGGGGGACAGAGTGAAGTTAAGGTTGATGATTTGATGTTTCTGGTGGAACCCACAGGAAGCTTATCGGCCATTTCCTTCAGCTGTAAGGTACAAACTATTTTGTCAGCAAGGAAGAAAGTAAATACTATGACAAGACTAAACTTAGTAGTATCTATCATCTACTTCAGGAACTGGTGTCTGTGCACCATTCCCTTTTTTCCTTTTTCACAAAAAGGTCAATCTAAGTCAAAGTTAAGCCTAAAAGATGCGGGTATATAATGTAATAACCATAAAAAAATATATAAATAAGAAAACGAAGAAAGATATCAACTTTTAGCTGTTAGAATTGAAAACAGTTTACATGTATGTAACCTTCCCTAGCATGCCAGATGATATAAGCTGGCTACTAATGCAGTTGAAACTTGAAAAACTGGAGTGCATGTGAATTAAACCTGTAACTACCTGTGTGGAAAAGAAATGATCAAACTAATTTTCTTACTTGTGCGGTAAGTGATTTAATGACTTCTTTTGCAGCTTTGCATTTTGCAGTCTCTTCCCCTGCAACTGTTACTGCCTCCTTCAGCTGTTTGGTTGTTCTTTCTAGCTCTAGCTCTTGAAATTGAGCCTTGCGAGTGAGATTTTCCACCTACATAAAAGGCGGATCAAATTTTCAAATTCTGATAAAACTTCAGACAGTCATTATCTCTCGAGAGGGATGCATTTCTATTGGGTAATTACTAAGAAGAATATCATAAATCTATCCTCCGAGTTTTCCACAAAAGCTATTCAAGCATGCTTCCCTAGTCAACAGAGGCAAAAGTCAGCGGAAAAATCTGCATGCCTGAGAGAATGTCAGTATATTGGAAGACACTCCCAGAAACTGACTCCAAATCAAATTATAGCATAAAACAAAAGGAGACCTGGAGAAAATTTTCTAAAAAAGCCCGTCAGTCTTCAAGACGGCAAAATTAATATACCGGTTATTCTAGACTGTAATGCTGCTGAATGCCTCCATCAGTCTCCATAGTCGACAATTAAAATAATTGTGAAAAGTAAAAACACAAGCTTGGAGACATTATTTCCATCCGCAGTATTTATTCATACAAAAGGAAAAGGTCTATTGCATAAAAAAGTGAATAGACACTTTTTCAGATACACACCTACACACCTGCATAGATATTAGATGGTTATTGGTCTTTTCAATTCAATGACAACCAGAAAAATAAAAGATCATAATTTTAAGCAACTTTTGGCAACATGGATGGTGATTCATCTACATCAACCACAGGCTACGAGCAAGTTCAGTATAAGGTAATTGGTGTGTCCACCATTTTCATCTTACCAGTACACTGACACAACCCCTAGAAGTCTAAAGCATGAAAGGAAACCAAATACGAATCAAGAAGGCAAAATAATAAAAATTAAAGTCCGAGTTTAAGGAAGGCAACTCAGAGAAATCAGTTCACCTGCACTCTTAATTTAGTAACTTCTTGGCTAAGGCCATCATGAGTCATCTTTATGCCATCTAGAACAATCTTAGGTGATGCCAGACCTCCCAAAGTGGGGGTCGGTGTAGTCGAACGAGGAGGGCTAGTCCGTCTTGAGACTGGTGATGTTGCTCGAGAAACAATTCTTGATCCAGGAACTGAAGCCGAGAAAAACTTTTTAGAGGATCCAAAAACTGGATTGAATGACTTTGAGATATTAAGCGACGACCCCCATTGGGAGCTTCCACTAGGGACTGGTGATACACGGCTGCTATTAAATTCCAGCTTTTTATTTCTCTTGGAAGTCCGGCTCTCCCCTTGCTTCAAAGGCTCAATTGAAGAGGTCCTAGGTAGATTGGGACAAGATCCCGCATCCATCTTCTCATCCTTGTCTGTATTCTCGTTGATCACCCGATTCACACTTCCTCTTCTACTAACCGACGAATGAGACGATTTATCCGTGTTGATAGCTTTCCTCAGCTTATCAAAACAATTATCACACACGCGGTACGGCTTGTTCGGATTAGGGGCCATAGAAGCCCTCAGCGACTTCTTCCCGCTGCACGAGTGACAAAACACGAGCCCGCAATTGTAGCAGTTGTGGCGTTTTCTCTTGAAATTGAAAGGCAGACGGCAGCCAGAGCACATGGACTGGTCCACACCTGAGATCCACTTATGAAGGCAGATAGCTGCAGTGAAATTAGTACCGCAAGCGACACTCTTCACTTGCTTGTCCTTCAGAGCTTCAACTAGAGTGGGCGAATTCCTATCATCCGTGTCCCCATGACCCAATCTACCGTTTGCCCCCTTCCCCCACGTGTAGACCTCAGTTCTCGAAGTCAACACGGCCACGTGATAGGCACCACAGGAAATCTCCTCCACAAAACTCCTCCCCAGTTTCCCTTCAACTCGAGCCGGAAGCTTCCCATCAGCTTGAGGATTACCAAGCTGCCCGTAAACTGGGCTACCCATGACATACACGTGCCCAGAGGTAGTAAGAGCCACCGTCAAACTATGCCCACAAGCGACCTGACAAAAAGTAGGATCCACAAGAGCCGCAACACAAGTCGGAACAAGCTTTGTTTCCTTGTCACCATGCCCTAGCCGACTTTTATCACCATCTCCCCACGTGAAGAGCTTTCCAGAAGAGCAATTGCTGGAGCTCGAGCTCCCGACCATAATCTCAACAACTGCGGCCGTGTGCCAAACGCCACAGGCTGCTCTCACGGTTCTCAGACCTTTCAAGGACTCGACTTCCCTCGGTTTCGAGACACTTAACCTGTCTCCATGGCCAAGCACTCCGAAAGTCCCATCACCAAAAGTGAAAAGCTGGCCGGACGAGGTCACAACAGCCGTGTGCCAGGGCCCGCACGAAATCGAGGAAACGTGGATTCCCTCCAGCGGCCCGTTTACCCTTTTTGGGACCCAATGGCTAACTTCATTCCCGTGCCCCAAAAGACCGAAATGCCCATTGCCCCAAGTGTACAGGTCCCCAGAGAGGGTGACTGCACACGAGTGGTTCTCGCCGCATGCAACAAGCTCGATATTCGTGTTGCTCAAGACATCAATTAGCTTCGGGTGTAAGACATCGGCATCCACACCGTGACCTAGCCGGCCTCCCGATTCCTCACCCCAAGAGAATATCTCACCTTGTTTGGTCACAAGGGCGGCATGTCGACTGCCACAGGCTATGTTCTGAACATCCAAAACAACTGCAGATTCTAATGCCTTTGGCAGCAAGGCGTCTGTTTTGGGGCCAAAGCTGCTCCCTGCCCTGTGGGGTCCGCCGCCCATGATGCTGTCACCAGTGCCTTCTCCCCAGATGAAAACATCCCCCATGGCATCACCATCATCGTGACCGGAGCCTTGACTGGACGAGCTTACTGCACTAGAGAGGCTCACTCTGAAGGCATCCATTCCTGTACCTTTCATTTGATTGTGTAACCCGTCCGAGCCTCCAGATGACAGGGAAAGGGTGGAACGAGTAGTTGTGTCAGAAGGGAAGAAACCCTTGGGAGGCATGGCATACAATACCATGTCTGATAATGGCTTGTCCGATCCATTTTTTGGAGGACTTTCGAAAGGGCTACGGAGGCGAAGTTGATCGGCAGCATCCTGTTGAAGGGATGGATGGTTTATGTAAGTTCCAACATTTTAAAGACAAAATGAGCTTCTATGTGTGGGACCAGATGATATAGGTCGGAAGAGTAAATACATGGTCATGCATGTACCTAAAGGAAAAATAAAATCACAGACCTTTGGAAAGCTATTACTGGTTCCAAATGGGGCATGCAGAGGTGAACTTCTTCTTGTGTATATTCTGGGACTAGTAGCTCCAGATGAAATTCCATCACTCCTCGATTCTGTTTTCCACTTACGATGATGGCCACGTGAAATCAATGCCTTAAGCCCACTAAACCACACTTCCGCTTCTTCCTTGTCCTTGCAAATCTATAAAAAACAAATGGTACAGAACATCTGTTTACCCAATTGCTGCACATAAATTAACCTAAGGACAACATTATTGTTTCTTAAAGATTCGGAGATAAACAAGAACAGACTTACCAAATCAAGTGATCTGTCATTGTATATTAGAGAGAAAGACTGGTATTCCTTCTCAGGGCGTGGATACCTTTGAAAAATTGGCTAGAACAGAAAACAAGCAGAAACTCAGACCATTGAAAAATTGGATGATATATTAACAAAAAATGCCTCTTCAAATCACAAACAAACAAGATCAAAGTTTGTAATCCACAGTGCAGAAATCTCCAATCACTGAGTTCACTGTCTATCAACCCTCTCCCAGAACCAGTCAACTACTACTGAGGTGGAGATGTATGATTTGTTTCAGTCTCAAAGGCTTCAAACATTTTAACCATGAGAAAAGGACAGTAAACTAGTATTAATGATCCACCAGTTTCGGAAGCATATTAGTGGTATCATATATAATTCACAAGTAGCCTGGTGGCTGCCAATTCATAGTCTTCCAGCATATTTCCTGGGTTCTGATAGCTGTAACGATATTAATTGGTGCAACATCACAGTACAGCCTACCAAGGGTATGTGGTTCTACGTGCACATCTAAAATACATTAGACAAGAGGTATAAATATGTTCACTTTCAGAAACTCGTCAGTGGGTAAGGCATCCAGGACAAGTAAAGAAAAAATAGGGAAGGATCAGCAAGCTATAGTTTACAATAGAAGGAAAATAACCAACAAAAATTACACTGACAGATTAGGGAGCAGGACTTCACATTAACATTGAATTTACAAAATATAGTTTAAAGAAATCATCCATCTGAACTTGTGGCATGCTTATATAATACATGCATCAAGGAATAGAATGATCCAATAATTACTAGTCCACAACAGTTACTAATGACAGATGCCAAAGCAAAGAACTAAAAGAAAAATGAAAGGCTAGAAATTAGCCTTTCCACCAAATAAAGTATCTGAAATTAAGTATCTATACCAGCTATCAAGTTCTGGGAAACTATGTTGACTCGTGATAGCACGACATCAGAATTGAATTGTGAGATAGGAAACTTACAGTCCGCTGCCCAGATATAATCCTGGAAACTTGACTAAGTTTAAGCTGTTTCTCTTCTTTTCCCGAAAACCATATCAAACCAGACTCATCCTGAAATCAAGCACACCCATTTATTCGAATTTCCAATGTCTTTCTAAGTTATAAAAAAATTCAATAAATCGAAACTAATCTCTGCCAGCATAGTAAAGGTTAACAGCTCCATATCAAACCAGACTCATCCTGAAATCAAGCACACCCATTTATTCGAATTTCCAATGTCTTTCTAAGTTATAAAAAAATTCAATAAATCGAAACTAATCTCTGCCAGCATAGTAAAGGTTAACAGCTGAATCATCGCCGCCAGGTTACAACTTAAAAGAATATCATCTGCATAGTACTACAGTGGGAGCATAAAGACCCTTCAAGTAAAATGTAAGAGAGCTAATTGATCTCCTATCAGAACATAATTTAATGGAAATGTCATGCTTCTACTAGTTCACTCAACTGAAACAAAACTAATTCCTAATTATCATTGCCAGCAGCCTTGCTAACAGCAGAAACTACAAAGTTCTTCCTTAATGATAAAATATACATACTGCATATTACTTTTAAATCGAATTCAATTGTCAGGCTCCTGTTTAGATCCTACAAAAAGAGAATTTAAAATCAACAGATATAGGTTAATAATGTTATAAAAAGTTGGGACACCCAGGGTGTGTGTTCAAATCATACCAGTTAAGCTATAGTACATTGATGATGTTCTTTACATCATCACAGAGAGCAACAGAGCAATATATAGCAGCTAAATGCAGCACCCATGCATACGTACTGTTTTGCACATTTCTCAAGATGCCAACAGGCTATGACTCATGCAATACATTACACGTTTCTAGAACAACGAAGTTTTCATCATCTAATCCACTTCAAGAGGAAGTAGACAACAAATGGAGTTAAAACTGCAACCCACGATTGTTTAATAGATCTGGTGAAGCATTGAATATGCAGAACACGGAATTTGGAAGACCCCGTGGACTTACATTTGCCAGCCGAAATGGACAGAACTTGGGTTTCCCTCTTCTTCCATACTTCAGTAAGTAGGCACCTTTCTTTAGAGCAGTGATGGCCTGAGTAGAAATCAGCCATACTAAATTTAGCAGGCACAGCATGTTTTGATAGAAACATACTAAATCAACCAATTCACTAAAAACAATTAATCATGCGAAGAAAATAAAATGATAAGTGCACTGTTACATATAATCAGTTAAAATTATGAATCTTCTATAGTTTCAGTGAGGACACTCACCATGCTCAATATATAAGCATTGAAGTTACATCATAAAGCTTAAAGAAATCACAGCTACATGAAAATAATTCATTCTGAGTTGCATGATGATCAAGGCCAGAGCAAAAAGATTTTGGACCACTTGCCTGGGAGTCAGATAAGATAAGAAGTTATAAACTCAACTCTACATCCAAGGATAGCAACTAAGACTTCACTGGGAGGTACAAATACTTCTTTGGGAGCTATGCAGAAGAAGAAAGATTAACCCACTGGAACTAACAAGGCAATGGGCACATAGCTTGTCTTAGAAAGATTGGCAAAGACGAGGAAAATAAATTTTAGCAACAATAATTGTTCTCTGTGCAAACACCTTTTAATTAATTAGAGAAGTGAGAGATTTACAAAAAAAAATTATGTTAATTAGTATTACGAATCAGTTTGCATTCACTAAAACACATAGAAACACACACACACACACACATACACATATATATATGTGTATATATATATAATGATGGTTCAGCAAGAACCTTATTACATTTTGAGCAAGTTATATAAGTTATTTTATGTATCCAAATCTTGGTTTCGGCCGGCGAAGAATCAGCCAAATGTTGTCTCATGAATAGATGGATATCAGGAACCACAAATACCAAGAGAAAATGACGCAGAAAACATAACCAGCAGGAAGAACAATACTTCCTAGTTCTTCAGTCAAGGGTTCCCAAAAAATGAAATAATAAATATATAAAAATAGAATAAATGTAATCTAGCTCCCACTCCTTCAAAGTGATTTAGCATACAAGTTTCAGCATGTTGGTCTGATTATGCATTTGCGATTCCAACCAAATAAGTGAATCTGTGTATTATTAATTTTATCCATTAGTAGCATCTGATTATGCATTTGCGATTCCAATCAAACCTAGCTGCAAAAGAGGCCTACCTGTTTCTGCTCATGATTAATTTTATCCATTAGTAGCATCTGTGTATTATTAAACCCTTTTCATAATCAAGAACCACCATCTTACGCATGTGTGAAAACGAGAATGTATAGTTATAAGAAGCAAAATAAACTCGACATGTCAGTAAGGAGCTGCCAAGGAAAATAAAAAGGGGGACCATCCCCAACCCCAAACCCCTCGCATGCAAAATCCATCCTCATGATGTGAATGAATCAGCTGTCACCTTAGAAAATGATTTAACTATTAATATTTATGATCCCAATGATTAGAAGTAGAGAAAACATCAAGATGCTTAAACAAAACACAAATTAGTAAAAAAAAATCAAGAATGAACTCGATTTTAAATCACACAAAATTTTACATAAATGCAAGTACTACAAGCAAAGTGATTCAATCTTAAGGCGCTCCAATCAAGGGAACAGGATACAACCAAACCTATTTCCATGAAACAATAGGTAGGGCGACTAATTCATTGCAGCTTAACCCAATAACTTGAGAATCAACAATGCTCATAAACGAAAATTCACTGAATCAAAATAAATATTTACAATAACCCAAGTCAATCCATACCTGCTCAATGTCTCTCTCGACTAGCCCACCAGCTCGGCCGACGTCAGAGCTGCTCATCCTATCTCCGGTTCGTGACATCAGAAAACAAACTCCCAATCTACCAAAGAAATCTTAAATCCAAACAAACACCCCATCCCCAATCCACTATCCATGCTCGCCCAATACACCGCTTTACAGTCAACTGTAAGCCAGAGGCAGCAGATGAACCGCACAAATGCACCAGTGTAATTGCAGAGGCCGCCGATTACCAAAAAGAAAATGGGTTTTCAAGGTTTTCAACCAGGTTGGAGAATGTGAAGAGGAACAACAGCTAAATAGAAATGTGTATGTGCCTTTATTCCGGCAGCCGGCGTTGACGGCGTTTATGATATGTAGGAGATCGGAAAAAAACGAGCTGAGTAAAATCCAGTGGCTTTTTTCTCCTTTTTCACTTTTTCTTTTTATTAATGTGAGAGTAGATTTGTGTGCAGAGGACTACTGTTCTTAAATCTGAGGAGACAAGAGTGTGTGGACTTATGGAGTATCTATTTCTTTTTTATTTTCAGCCTTTTTTTTTTTCCTTCCGTTATTCAACTTTATTATCTCCGTCCCTTTTATAAAGCAATGTTCAGTTAAAATTCAAAATACTTACTAAAGGAAAGACCATGTCATTAATAATAAATAAATTAATAAATACAATGATAATAAAATCTATATATTATTGAATATTTTCTTATATACAACGTTCATGGTTTGATTCTTTGGCACGTCATCGTCGCTGCAAATTAGGACTTTCAAACCCATTTTTGTTTGTGACACGGGAGACAGCAACATACAATTGACCATAACTAAACACTGGTTTCTTAAGAAAGAAGCCCACATGCGATAATGATTGTTCCTGACTCTTGTTTATAGTCATGTTGTAAGAAAACATAATAGGAAACAATTAATCCAATAACATCTACAAAAATATAAGAAAATGCATCATATTGAAATGTATAACATATAAAATAGTTTATTACAGATTTTAAATTAAAAAAATCGAAATAAGAAATAAACAAAAAAATTATAACGTACCAAACAACATGACTTCATCAATGTTACGAACATCCATTAAAGTTAGAAATAGAGAAATCACCCCTCCATTTGATAAATCACCTCTCCATTTGATAAATCACCCCTCCATTTGATAATCTTGGTTTGACCATTGATAATGATCCTCCTTTTACCCATCGTCGATTTATGGATGCAAGTATTGCGTTTCACTTGATAGTTTGTCAAGATATAAGCGCCACCTTCTTCAATATCACCGATGATTTTTTGGATATTGACAGGTCGAATTATGCCAGTAATTCATTCTCCCTAAAACATTGCATAATGAATACTTCAATAAATAAATTATAAAAGATGTTGCATAAAATGATGCATTTAAATAATACTAAATGAATATATTACCTCAAAATCATAAAAGATAATCTCAAGCACATTTCGGTAATTGCGTACGTCTTCAACTCGTTGGAACATCCTAATTATGCGTAGCTTGATTGGTGGCTTATTGAATCTTTTGATATCCTTGATTACTCCAAAATCCGAAGCCATTTTCAATGGTGATGTAAAAGCTTTTAGAAAAAATTGTTTTGTGGGATATATTGGATGTCGAATACTTTTTGTTCAACGTTGGTGATGTTTATATAGTCATGTGTATGTGCCATATGTCTAGGAAATAAAAAAAATATTTACGTAAGGTATTTAATATGATCCGATCCGATTTTTTTTATTATGATTATGATTGACTTCTAAAAATATGTGTTATCGGTTTTGTTAAAAAAAAATGTGGAACGTGATTCACTTGTGAGGGACGAACCAATATTTAGAAGATTATGTAGCCAAAAATAATGGAGTTTGTTACAATAAAATTTGGTAAGACTTTTTGGATAGATTGAAAAATAATATTTTTATTTTGATCTATTTATTTGGACAAATCCAAAACTTTAATTTACAAAATTATAATCTTTATTTTTTTGAAACGTGTAAAATTTTCTAAGATAATTTCTATAAAACAAAATGTGATCAAATCATAATTGATTTTTATGCCTCAATATTCCAAATCAAACTTTACAAATATGGTATGATTATTTACTATTAATATTTTATTTTTTCAAACGTCTGATTCTCTTAGGTTTATATGAAACAAAGTTCAATCAAATCAAAATTGATTTTTATGCCCACACTAAAACTTTATCAATATGATATGTTTATTTTATTTATTTATTTTTTTCAAATCCACAACTCAAATTTTCGAGAGAGAGAAAAACAAGGAAACAAAAATGCATCTTGGGGCCCGAATTTTGATTACGATTCTTATTATGGAATGAGAGGAGAAAGAATAGATCCACATTGTGAGGCTAGGATGTCGGCTATGATCCAAGGAGCCATGGAGAGTGTTCGTCAAGTTCTAAGGAAACCATGTCGTCTATGTCAAACCACACGTCACATCACCGATGATTGTCCACTTTTGATCGAGAGGTATGGTGCACGTACAGTTACCAAGAGAGATTGGTACCGACAAGACGATTGGGCGTATTCAAATTTCGATAGGGACAATTACGGTTGGGGAGATCGTGGAAATTCATTCTATAAAAATCCACAATATTATCGATCGTATGAGCCTACTTATGAGTACGATGATTCTCAATTCCACTATGGAGGCTCACAAAATTTTTCAGAATCTTTGCTTGAACAAGAGGCTAGTCCATCTTTGTCGAACTTATTTGAGGAGTGTCAAAATTCTTTGATGGCTATTAGCAAAAAGCTTGGTGACGTATTGAACAAATTGGATTCCCGGTCCAAGAGTCGGCTAGCTGAAGCTAGTCACGATGATGTCGGAGAGCTTAGGATGAGCAGCGACACGGAGCTTGAGGTGCTGGACAAAATTAGTTTTGAGCCGACAAACGATCGAAGCGACGAAGAGATTGAAGAAGAAGGCGAGACGGAGCAAATTTCGCTGCTATCGTCCCCCCCGATAAAAATCTGGTAGCATTTACTACTGCTATCGAGGCCCCCGATAACAGCCTACTCGAAGGTGAAAATGACGTAAAAGCTCTGACAATTGCCCCGAGAATGACTGAAAATCAATCTCTTCTATCCGGTTCAATCAACCGCACCTGAGCATGTTGAAAATCAAGAGCTTTACATCCTGGAAGTTGTAGAGATTTCCCCTCTTATCCATGATCCAGGGCTAATATTTTGCCATGACGATTCACTGCCTATGAGAAAAGACCCGGTCAAGCACCCAACACCGGAAGAGGGGACCATTCATAAGCATGGAGCTTCAAGGTTTGTGCCTCCTTTGAGGCTACCTACGAAGGCGCCATGGACCGCTTGAGGAAAACGGAGTAATAAGTCGAGCCAACGACACTAAAAAAAGGCACTTGTTGGGAGGCAACCCAATGTTGTGCGACGTGACTTCTTCTCTTTGATAAGGTGAACTCTTTCCTTTTACCTCCTATTTTGTTCTTATACATGTGCAAACTCTAAGTTTGGGGAGGTGTGTTAGCGTGAGATGTTTATATGCTAGATTATTATATATTCTCTTAATTTGTTTGAGTATATGTTACTTGTGTGTGGAATTTCACAGTGATGATGTGAGAGCCTTTGTTGGCATTAAATGCTAGTTTATGATGACTTAGGTTAATGATTTCTGGTTAAATTCTTGAAGTGTTGCTATTTGAGGGACAAAAACATGACGATTGATATTTATGTGATTTATTTGTAGTGACTTGGTCTTGAACTGTTTATATTTTTGAAATGTGCTAGTGATTATTCTGCTTGATGTCGATTGTGTGAGGTGACTTGACGTGGAAATTTGAGAGTTGATTGTCTCAGAAAAAAAAAGAAAAAAAAGAACAAAGAAAGAAAAAAAAAATTGAGACTTTTGATTTCTGGCTAGAAGCGAATAGGAACCAAACCGGTTGGCAAAGAAAGGGGTATCATTAGTTGCATGATTGGTATACTCGGTGTAGAGATTGGCGAACTGCGGTGATTCACTGAATTGATATTTGATTGTTGGCGTTCTAAAGACGGTTTCATTTCAAGTCCGGGGTTATTAACTTGAGAAGTTGTAGCTATGCACTACGTGAGATGTGTGAGGACCTGAGCGAAAATTCCACGTACTTATATATATCCATCTATGTGCTTTTAGTTCTAAGTTGCTTGGGGACAAGCAACGGTTTAAGTTTGGGGAGATTTGATAGGTCTAAAAATGTGCACATTTTATATATTTAATAGTGTATTTTTATACACTAAATTTATTCGCACGTTTATATTTTTCGACCTATTTATTATTTAGATAGATTTATTTGCTTTAATGTTGTATGTGTTATTTTCAGTATTTTGGAGCAATTTGTGCACGCGAATTATTGGACGGGAATCACGTGATTAACTATCGAAGTTAGGCTAATGATACTTGAATCAGGCCCACTTTCATTTTAATGGGCTGGTAATGTTTGCTAAAAAAAAAAAGAAAAGCAAAATATTTTTAGCTTGGGAGCTCTACGGGAAAAGGGAATTCACATTGCACTCATTTATTTGTTTTGTGGGCCACGCATTATGATTTGGAAGGAGTGACATTGGCTGGAGAACAATTAATTTGAGGAGGATTTACTTTATAAAGAGGACTCCACATTGGCTGGGACATTCACGCACGTACAGAGGGATGCGAGAGAATTATTTGTGAGACATTATTTTACGAGAAGAAAAGAAAAAAAAAACCCACGCACGGAGAAGACCGCACAGATAGAGAAAGAGGCATCGCGGAGGGAAGCCGCATCTGCACACGGGGGAAATCTTTTTTCTCTCTTTTATCTTTTATTTATTTCATTATTAGTATGGTAGACTAGTGTTTTTATCCAGTTTCAGGGGATGTTTGAATCCTAACTTGAATTTGTCTATGGATTTAAGGATTTATATTTATCGTTGATTAATCGAGACGCCCGTATTTATTTTTGTTGATGAGGTGATTCATGTTATCTACGTATATTGTTTATGAATTATGGGTGTTTGATTTAGTTCGGCCGGCTACGTTAAATATTCATAGTTTAATTGCTAGATTCGAGACTTTAATCCGTAATTGTTATTGTCTCGTTTCGTTAGTAGTAAACTAGGGGTCGTGCATCTCTAGGGTAGCGTGAACATAAGTTAAATGGTTCGAGCTTGTGCGTCCATTGCTTAGACTGACCTATTTTCTTAGAAATTAATGCTGCTAGTGTATTAAATCTAGAGAGCTTATTCTAGGTTGTTCACTAGTTAGGTTTAGTCGAAGAGCCTATTTCGATTAAATATTCAGTAAGAGAAAATTCGGTTAACAGAGCTTGTTGTTAGCTAGGGTTGGTAATTCATTAGCAATCTAGAGAAAGCGTCAAAATTAAATAACGGTAAATTGAGATTGGGTGATAACTGAACCAAAAACTGGACTTCTCTTATTTATTTGTTTTTTATTTTATTTTTATTTTTATTT